AATTTCCTTATTTGTTTACCAAGTCATTTGGGGTGGACACTATATGTTCATGTCTTGACCTAGTTTGAGAAGTATCTTATTAAAGTATTTCTGCCTTCTAATTCAGATAATTACCATTATTAAAATTGTTATCAATAATGAATTATTGAAAATCAAGTTTTAAAAAATACTTTAGCAAAAATATTTGAGACGATAAAAGTAGGAACGTTGGGGCTGTAAAGTAGCACTCATAAGGTGTTTGTCTTGCATATGACTGAGCTGAGTTTAACTCTGAGTACCACATGTGGTCTTCTGAGCCCTTCCAAGGGTGATCTCTGAGCACAGAACCAGGAGTACGTTCTGAACACTGTCTGGTGTGGCCACTGAACAGAACCAAACAAATTAAAGTGTTGACTGAGGGTCAGGGAGATAGCTTACAATTCCACCACTAGAAGTAAGCCCTGAGCACTCCCCCCATCCCCCACAAAAAAAGACAGGAAGGTCTGTAAGACTATTTTAAAAATCAGAATATTGTTTCAGAGAGATAGTTGAGGAGGTAAAGGCACTTCTCTTCCTCGTGGCCAATCCACATTCTATCTTGCTACTGCACATGACCCCTCTGAAAGCCCTGAGAATTGCTCTATGGCCCCAGTACCAAAATCCATAAAATAAAATGTAACACTGTAGCACTGTCTGTAGCACTGTGGTCCCGTTGTTCATCTATTTACTGGAGCGGGCACCAGTAGCATCTCCATTGTGAAACTTGTTGTTACTGTTTCTGGCATATGGAATATACCATGGGTAGCTTGCCAGGCTCTGCCTTGTCGACAGGATACTCTCGGTAGCTTGCCAGGCTCTTTGAGAGGGACAGAGGAATCGAACCTGGGTTGGCTGCGTGCATGGCAAATGCCCTGCCCACTGTGCTATTGCATATTTAAAAAGAGAAAACTATTATTTTGGAGATCTTGGTACTAGTTTTCAACTTAAGATATGTGAAGTGTGAGTAGGAAAATTTTATATTTGAGGGGGCTCGGGAGATAAGCCAAAAGACCAAAGCACATGCTTTGCATGCAGGAGCCCTAGCTAGACCCCAGAACCAAACAATGTAAAAGTTACTCAGGGCCAGAGCGATGGTGCATCAAGTAGGGCACTTGCCTTGCATGTGACCAACCTGGGTTCCATTCCTGGTACCCCATAAGGTTTCCCATGCACTGCCAGAATGATCTCTGAGTGCAGAGTCAGGAGTAAGCCCTGAGCACTGCCGAATCTCGCCCACATATCCCCCCCCCCCCAAAAAAAAAGTTATGTTTGGTGAGGGCTGGTGGGATAAGTGGTAAGTCCTTACATGCAGCTTACCTGGGTTTGATCCCCAGCAAGCCATATGGTTCCCCAATCACCACCAGGCATAAGCACTAATCACCACCTGTCTTGGGCTCCCCCAACCCCACCCCATCAAAAAAAAAAGTTATAGGGGCTGGAGCAATAGCACTGTGGGTAGGGCGTTTGCCTTGCATACAGCCAACCCGAGTTCGATTCCCGGCATCCCATATGGTCCCCTGAGCACCTCCAGGGGTGATTCCTGAGTGCAGAGCCAGGAGTAACCCCTGTGCATCGCTGGGTGTGACCCAAAAAGCCAAAAAAAAAAAGTTATATATAATACCTGTTAGTTCTGGTTACTTTAGGTTGCACCTATTATATGCTTAAATAGGCTTCTTTGGACTAGGGTGATAGTTAAGCAGGTAGGACTATTTTTTGGAGGGGCGGGTTTGATTTTTGGGTCACACCCAGCGATGCAGGGTTACTCCTGGCTCTGCACTCAGGAGTTACTCCTGGCGGTGCTCAGGGGACCATATGGGATCCTGGTAATTGAACCCGGGTCGGTTGCGTGCCAGGCAAACGCCCTACCCGTTGTGCTATATCTCCAGCCCCAGAGAGTAGGACTTTTGCCTGGCATGCAACCGACCAGGTTTGAGTCCCAGTATCCCAGATGGTCCCTTGAGCACCACCAGGAGTGATTCCTGAGTGCAGAGATAGGAGTCACCCCTGTGCATTGCCGTGCATGACCTCAAAAAAATAAGGGAAAAAAATTTAAGTCTGAAGTAATAAACCCATGTGTTAATTATAAAGTGCAAGAACATTTGTGTTCTTGCATGTGTATACCTTGGTGTTGTGTTTGAAAAAGATAAAGTTGTGATATGAAAAATAGGAATTTCACATTTATTTCAGAGAAATTGTATGGTGGGAGGGGAAATAAAGGTGGTAGTTGGGTCTTTCAACAGTATCTAGCCTGTAATTTAAGGCCAGGTTAATTGATAATTGGGCCATTCTGTATTCTACCTCTTCAAATTCTAATTATTACAGACTTTTGAGTCTCTGCAGTAGAGTTTTATGATCAAGATATAAAATTACCCTATTTGGAAACAGCTAGGATAAGTTAGACTTTAAAAGATGATTATTTTGTGTTTGAAATGTGGTAATATTCTTGGGCTTGGTTAAATTTTTGGTTTGGTGGGGAGCCACACCTGATGGTGCTCAAGGTCAAGGTCTTCTCCTGGCTTTGTGCTTGGTTATCACTCCCAGCCATGCTAACACCGTGGTGTTATATAATAATGTTATATAATAACACATTATTTTAAATAATAGCCTCATTGTTATACACATGGCGGTGCCAGAAATCAGCCCCGGACCTCCCACATGCAAAGCATGCACTCGGCCTCTTGAGCTCTCTCTCCAGCCCCATGATTTTTGGTTGAGTATATTGAACCAATAAAAAAAGCTTTTTTAAAATAGTCGCTATAAATTGCAGAGTTAAGCCAAGTATCTCGTGTGCTCATGAGGCATTCTGTGCAAAAATACATAGATTTTGGTTACCCCGGTCTATCCCTTGTGTAACTATCCACAGAACCAGTTCTAAAACTGACTTTTTTTTTCTTTGCTGAAATATGAAACATTTTTCTCTATTAATGAACAGCCTTAGTAAGGGCCATATCAGAAGACTGCTCATCCAGCGACTCCACACTCAGCACCGCTAAGCCCGAAATCCACTACCCTACACATAGTTTTCCTCCAAAGAACCACGGAGTCTTGACACGCTTTAAATGCTTAACTTAGATTATTTTCTAGTATTTAGTCATCATTTCTGATGTTCTATAAAGAGGTGCTGCTGAAGCTAAATTATCTTACTCCACACAGAATAGAAAAATGTGGCTCTGGTTTATCAGTAGGTTTTTGTTTGTTTTAAAAAAAAAGAAAATTTTACACATATACATTGGGTTTTTTGGGGTTTTTTTTTTGGTTTTTATTTGTTTTGGGTCACACCTGACAGTGCTCAGGGGCTACTGCTGACTTAGTTTTCAGAGGGCCACGTGGTGCCCAGATTTGACCCCAAGGCTCCCGCATGCCCTTCAGCCCTTTGGCTGTCTCCCCGGCCCCACTTCCTATGTTTTACTAGGTGAGAAGAAAATAAAATTTAAGAAGAAAAAGTAGTATTTTGGTACTATAATTTTTTTGATTCAGATTGAAAATAATGCTCTTGAATTGTGAATTAGTTTTGCTTGAGTTTAGAATGCTAAGAAGCAACTTTGTGAAATTGCTGTTTCACTTGAGACCTGAAATGCAGAAGGGGCTCAGTTCTTGATGCTCAGGGAATGCAGTTCAGATCTCACTATTCTTTGTCAAGAGTGTCTGTTAGCCAAGCAGTGGCCATCCTAATTGCATTCTCTTTTATGTGGAGCCTGACCTATGCAGCTATTAAGTGCATATGGTAAAGGCATAAAATAGTTCTCTAACTTTTCATATCTAAAAGCATAGTTTCCCATATCGAAATATGATCTCCTGAGCCAGAGAGCTATTAGTACAGGGGCTCAGGCACTTGTCTGGCATCCCTCCAGCGCTGCTTTGAATCCTTGTACCGCCAGGGGTCACTCCTGAGCACAGGGCCAGGAATAGCCCCTAAGCCCGAGGTACGGCTCAAACCCCCTTCCTCCCAGACCAAATTAAAACATGTATGTCTATGTGTACTGCTATTCTGTAGGCTACTTCTTGGGGGAAATGAGAACTACTTTTATGAAATGCAAAGGAAAATTTAGCACATATGTCAGAATATATTATTTCATGAATGGTAATACTGTCTTAAAATACAGCAAAAGAGCTGTGAGGAACAGATTCCATGCTTGAAAAATATCAGCAATTATTTTGATTGTAGTGTGATTATAAACTAGCTGGGTTTTTATTTTATTTTGTGAGGGCCTTGTTGGGTCCCATCCAGCTATGCTCAGGGATTACTCGTGGTAGGGGACCATATGAGGTGCTGGGGTTGAAACAGGCATCAGTCACGTGCAAGGCCAGTTCCTTAACCTCTGTCCTTTGTACTAACTCTTCAGCCCCAATTACATCTTAAATCCCAACCTCTTTCTTCCCATAAGTTAGGAGGGAAAATAATACAGAAAAATTCATCCTGAGTGAGTAAAGATCCATGGAAATTAGAGACCAAAATCTGTGTTCTCACTTTAAATTCTGTTGACATGAGCACATGAACTTTGAAGTTCTCAACATAGGTCCTTGATGGTCTGTGAATTTAGGATGTTGGACTCAGATTTTCTGGCATGCATGTGATATCATTGAGTAGTCGGGATTTAGCAACAGCTACAAACTTATGGGCCTCATCTTGAATGATCACCAGATACTGTCAGGTATTGCTGAGGATTCAGGTTTCGAGGGCTTTGTTTAGTCTCCTGTATGCCAAGTTAGATCTCCAAAGGGATCTGCAGACCCACGTTTGTGATGTGACTGGCAGCCTCAGCCTTTTTTCCTTGATGTATATTTTACAAGAGTACATACAGGCAGTTTTAAGTTTGTCAATCTGCTGTAGAATATGTTTATTTGAAATGCGAGAAAGCATGAGATGGCTTCGTACAGGGGAGCCACTCAGCTGTGTGTGGGGTATGTAATTGAGAGACGTTATTTTCAGTTCTTGTGTGAGCTCTGCTGTGAACCGCAAACTGTGTGCATGTGTATAAAAGGTTAAGAGCCCAGGTAGCCGAGTGGGGTGCCATGCTGTTAGCAGACGCCGAGGGCAGTATTACCCACCAGGTGCACGCCGTCAACTCCGTCGAAGAGTCCATCTTCATGGAGTCATCTCGTGGTCCACTTTTTCTTGAAGCCAGGTAACATTTCCCACGAGCAGTGCTTGGCCTTGGTGGAGTTTTTCCTCTTGGAAAAGCTGAAACCCAGCATTCTCTTCCCTAACTTTAAAAAAAAAAATGAGCAAAAAACCCTTTGCCTGCTGGAAGAACTAACTCACAAGGTGGAATGAACCTGTTATCACTTTGCTTTGTAAAATAATCATTATATAAAGGAGTGGCTCTTTTTAAAAAATTTAAGTGGGGAGACTAATTGGAGTGTGCTGTATGTCGTCTTGCCATGGTGAGCAGCATGGAGCACCCTGGCTTGTGTTCCAGACGTGTTTCTAGGGGGTTTGTGACAACTAATCTGACTTTCACTCTTTAAGTATGACCAAGGCAAGCTAGTTTGGTATAGTTGATATTCTTGGCTCTTAACTCTTTTGCCTATGTCAGTGTGTGGCTCTTAATGATGTCTGACTTCTGCTCTAATTTTATTTAACACAGTTACAAAATAACTCAAAAGAGTTTCCATAAACACTTAATTCTGTGCTTTTTCTACACCACCTCAATTGCATTCACGTAACTAAAACATCAGTGCCACTCAAGTACAGTGTTCCAACCTTTGCTTTAAAGCTTTTTCCTCTTCATGGTAAGCTGTCATACTTGAGACTCTCGAGGGGGCTTAGCAGTATTATATCTGCGCATGCTCACGGACTCTGTGGTACAGACTGTCCCTGTTCGTGTCATACATGATACAGCTGCTTTTATGTCACTGATCTTCAGTCATCCTGTTACATTGTATCCTTGGTTGGTACCATTATCACCTCCTGTCTAACTAACGCCAGGGTTTGGTGTATACTTGTTCTCTTTTTGTTCTTTCATCATCAGTAACCAAATTAATATAAACTTGGTAAATCTTACTCCTCCCCCTTTGGGATATTTTTGGTGAACTTTAATGGGGATTGATGTTTCCAAAATTCACTTTAAGCATTACTCTTAGAAAAGTATTATCACTTGTCACTTCATTGCTTACAACATACCTTGTAGTTCCTTGGGATTGAACATTGCTCATTGAGGTCCTGAAATTGCCCTCACATTGTAAGATCTCAGCTCACCTCATTTGATAGAATTTGGTGGTCTTACAGAGAGTAGTGGGTTGATTTGTCTACATCCCCCTGTTTCCCATGTGAAGAAAATATATAAAAATTTAGATGCTATTGGGGCTGGAAAGATAATACAGCAGGTAAGGTGCTTGCCTTGCATGCAGCTGACCTGGGTTCAATTTTCAGGGTCCCATATGGTCCCTTAAGTGCAGAACTGTGAATGATTCTTGAATGCAGAGCCAGGAGTAAGCCCTGAGCGCAGGCTGGCTGTGGCCAAAAAAAAAAAAAAAAAAAAAAAGATGTTATTAACTCCCAAGTTGTAGCATTGTCAGTAAAGACATTTGTCTCTGTTAATGCCTACGTGTAAGTAATGTATAGGTTAGGTGTCTCTCTTGATCATTTTTTGTAAGCATTATTGTATGCAATTAGCCTGACAAGTGTGTTAATACTTCCCTAAAAGTACACTGCTTTATAACTGGTGTTTTAATACTAACCATGTTTTAAATATTAATTGTATTTTCTGACTACAGGCACGTGACACAAGCTGACCTCAAGAGCTCCACGTTTTGGCTTCGAGCAAGTTTTGGTGCTACTGTTTTTGCAGTCTTGGGCTTTGCTATGTACAAAGCTTTATTGAAACAGCGATGATTAAAAAAAAAATTACTGGCCCTACCAAAAAATAAAGCAAATAATTTTGTGTACATTCTGAATGCTTTAAATTCTGCTAGAAATATTGAGATATTTATACATGCAGAGTTACTTTATTAATATTTGTAATTCATGCATAAGAGTATTTTAATGATAGTTATAACTGCAGTATTGGCTAGCATATGGAAAGAAAACAGCTTAACAGCCAAACTAAAATGGCTAAATTTCAGAGGCCAAAAGGGAATATTTTGTAAATAATGTACATATTCAAGCAAGATACGGTCTCCCAGACTGAGTTCTAGAAAGGATGTTTCCAGATGTTTCTACATGGCATTGTCAGTGCTCAGTTGGCTCACTCTCCTAGGTTTAAGTCCGCTCGGAGATTGTATTTACTCATGGATTGCTTATTTATTTCACATTTACGCTAAACGATCCTTTGGGTTCTTTAAGTACATGAGGCGCAATTTGCCATTTTCTCTCCATTTTTAAAAATAAATGAGTCAGTGTCCACTTACCAACACAGTTTTCTTTTAGTCACTTATGGTAGGCCAGCCACGAAGCCAGAAGCCAGGGAGCCGGGACCAGCGGGAGCCGGGCCAGGCTCTCCCTTCAGGAAGGAGCAAGCCCCGGCCCTTAGCAGTGGTGTCACCTAGGAGATTATGTTGCTTCCTTTATCAGTATGTTGACTTTTATAACCCTTTCAATCAAATGAGGAAAAAAAACAATTTGTATATTATCAATGTTTTTAGTTTAAATAAACAGTCATCATTACGACTATTAAATTTCTTCCCAAAGTGTAAAATCCTTCTATAATGGCTGTGTCTATGATAGCATATCACAGTAACTGCATGTGTTATGAAGTGTTCTCTCTGGCTAGGATAACCTAGAAGCAGCACTTTTTTTAATGGTAAAATAAATCTAACGAATATAAACTCATGATAAACCTATTTTTTCCATCATTGACCTTTTCAAGTATTTAAATAAATAATTGCTGTGTACTGTGATCTGGAGTTTCTGTCTTGCAAAGTAAATGCTTCTGTACATGTGTGAGTTCATCCCTGGTCTCTGTCCTCCTGACCTTGAAAATCCCCTTGGAATTGCCACACTCAGCAGTGCCCAGGGCTGCTGGTTCCAGGCTGCTCCTGGTGGTATCCAGGGGACCATGTGATGTTAAGGGATCAAGCCTGCGGCTCCCGCATTCAGAGCTGGTGCATGTGCTGCAGCCCTTAGAGCCATCTCCCCAGCCTTGAGAGGTTTTTTTTTTTTTTAAATAAAACGGTAATACTCATTATGAAAGTAGACCAGGATGATTTGTATGAATGAGAGGAAATCTGGGCCAGAGTGACAGTGCAGTGGGTAGGAGGCACTCGCTTTGCACGAGACCGACCCAGATTCGATCCCTGGCATCCTCCTGTGGTCCTAGCAGCCCTCCAGGATTGACCCCTGAGGATCACCGGGTGTGGCCCCGTGAACAATAAATAAAATTCTGGGAAATCTGTCTTCAGAAAGCAATTGTTTTCCCTACACTAATATGGTATCTGCATGATGTTCACATTTATTTTCTCCTTAAGCATGAATTATTTTTCCCCTTTTATTATTATAAGCGACACTTTCTCAGAAGGTTACATTCTTCAAGCAGCTAGTAGCAGCATAATTTCACTAGCTAAAAATGTGTAATATGTTTTATTTACGTGTATACTTTGTTTCTCTTCTCCCCGATTTTCTTTATACATTTGAAGAAAAGGAAAAAAAGCAAAAAATCTGTGGGCTGGGCTGGAGTAATGGTCCCAGCGTAGGGCTCTTGCCTTGTACACGGCCTACCTGGATTCCATCCCTGGCACCCCATATGGTCCTCTGAGCATCGCTAGGTGTGTCCGATCGTTCCACCCCCCCACCCCCCCACAAAGCCTGGATCAGCCCCATGCAAGGCCTTACCCTCCATACTATCTCTCTGGCCTGGTAGTTTCACTCTTTACTGAGTTTCCTATTTCCTGATATATGCATCACTTCTACAGTTTCTAATGACAGTTCATTCTTGCCTTCCTGTGCAAACTGTTATTTTAGATGAGTAGGCCTAAAGTTTTGTTTGTGAGTACATGCTCTTGGCCTACATGCAGTGCCCCCTGGTTTAATCCCTGAAACTACGTAGTATCTGTAGCCCCTGAGTACCAACAGGTATTGCCCCAGTACTCCTCTCAAAACAAGTCATGTGTTTCTTTTCCCCTTTTTTGGCCACACCCAATAGTGTGTAAACACGTAAAGGGGCCGGCAAAGGGATGGCAGAGGCCTATCTCTCCCACCGCCCGCTTTTGGTAGTCTCAGGCCGTTTCCCCACTCCAGGGAGGTCGATGGCGATGGGCAGGGGAAGGAAGGAAACGAGGGCCAGACTGGTTGGTCTTAGTAGCAGTTTATTACAAGGAAGAAACCTATGTCATGGAGAGCCCAGGATCTCTCAAGCATGTGTTCTCCAGGTACTCTCTGGCCTGTGTTCCCCATTCTCTCAGTTCTCTCAAACATGTGTCCCCCAAAGAGCCCCGAAAGTCTCCTTATATAGATCATGGTACCTCTAAAGGGGCAATACAGTGATGTCATCAAAAGGAGTTACAGAAGGAACATTGAGGCGGCAAAACATACATTGTTTCTTTACATCTGCAGGCCAGTTAATTATTGGCCTCTGGAAAGAAGATACAAAATCAAGACTGAAACCTTTCACAAGCACTTTCACAACGGGCCCAGTAATGTCTCCATTGGAGTCTTTGTTGTTACTGTGTCTGGTAGCTTGCCGGCTATAAGCATTTGGATTTGCATCCCAAAGACTAGCCTAGCTAGAGCTGGGAATCTACATCCCAAAGATCAGGCCTGGCTAGCATCTGAGATCTGCATATCTAAAACCAGCTAGGTTTCTGTGAGAAATGGAAAACTGCTTCTTACAATATACTGAAATTATTTACTGAAGGCAGTTTGAAGGGGAGAAATGTTCAGCCTCATCCAAACTCCAAACTCGTCAGGACACTCGGAAAAGCCGCTTCTAGGACAGATTCTCATTTAGCAGATCAACCCACCTTAGAACGGAATCCCCTGGGTTTTGTTTCTCCTCTCCTTGTCCAACAAATATATAAGCATACATAATATAAGTTATTTTGTGTGGACACAATAAGAAATACTTAAGCTTATAGAATTGCTCTCCTAGGGCCATCTCGATCTCAGACTGCAGTGTTCAGGCCAGATAGTCTTTCCTATCCCTAGCAGGGTCCTAGTCTCACTGTTGGATCATGACATCATTTGTCTATGATCAAACTCCTAATTTATAGTTAAGAATCGTGGAGCTTTGGCCTGGCCCATCTTGATGCCAGGGTAGCACATAGCTTACCTGTTTGCCCTGGTTCCATCCAGTCCCCCTTTGGGGTGCTAGAAAGTGAGGGCACCTGAGGCTTAAGCCGAGAAAGCAGATGCCCAGGAGTGAATAATATTCAAAGCCAATTAAATCCTAAATTACAAAGCATAATATTAACGGTCTTCCTGTATCTATACTAAAAAGGACATTGCATTAAAGTAAACTATTCAAAAGACATAAGGAGAGGAGAAAGGCAATATTAATTTACAAGTTCAGTGTCCTAGAAGGATCTGACCTTACAAAATAACAGATTCTGATTAGGGGAAAAGCTGATTAACTGGTTGGGGAAGAGAGCATAAGGAAGTGGTTACAGATAAACAAAGTAATGGGAATGACTCAGGAGTACTGTGATGGGTGCAACCTGATAAACCTAAACTCCTTGTTTTCCAACACAATAGTGTTGGCTTTGTATTCAGGAATCACTCTTGGCAGGCTTAGGAAACCATTTGTGATGCTGGGGATTGAACCTGGGTCTGCTGGTCTGCAAGGCAAGCACCCTACCTGCTGTATTATCTCTCCGGCCCAACAAGTGATGTATTTCTATGTGTGGATTTTATCTATCTTTTCTTTTTTTGTTTTTGTTTGGGTTTTTTTGGGGGGGGTGGGGACACCAGGCGGTGCTCAGCTCTAACTCCTGACTCTGTGCTCAGCGATCACTCCTAGCAGAGCTCAGGGGACCCTATGCAATGCTGGAGATTGAACCTGGTCAGCCACATCCAAGGCAAGAGCCCTCCTTGCTGTCCTATGACTCTGGCCCCGCATCTTTGCATTAAAAACTAGTGTCAAGTCACAAGCAGCCCTGCTCTCTCACCAGCTCCAGCTGGACCTGGCCACCTCCCTCTGTTGGATTCAATCAGGTCAGGAGCAGGGAGAATATGGTGTGACTCACTGATTCTCTGTGTCCAGGCACATGAGATCATTTATCTCATCCCTTTTAGGGATGAATGAGTGTAGGAAAATAAATGCATAGATACAGTGACCAACTTTTTACATTATAGTCAGAAGGAGCCAGTACTTTGAGAATCTTAAGGATTAAAAGGAAATCTTTCACACAGCTCCCACTGTATGACCTTTTATTTATTTAGGCTCTTTGGGTCATACCTGGAGATGCTCAGGGGTTACTCCTGGCTCTGCACTCAGGTTTTACTCCTAGCAGGGACCATAAGGGATGCTGGGGTTCGAACCTGGGTGGGCCACATGCTAGGCAAATGCTCTACCCACTGAACTATCGATCCAGCCCCTGTATGGCTTTTAAATGCTCCGTTCTGAAATCATTTTGTTGGGATGTTCTCATGACCAATGAGACCACCAGAGGAAAAGGGGTGTGGGCCTGCGTGATTGCCAAAGAACAACCTTGTTCAACCAGAGGCTGGAGCTGCTTGCCAACAGTAGGTTTAGTTTGGTTTGGTTTGGTTTGGGGTTTGGTTTTGGTTTGAGCACCTGGTAGTGTTCAGGAGTTACTCCTGGCTCTGCGCTCGGAGATCAATTCTGGTGGGCTCAGGAGACCATATGGGGGGCCAAGGATCAACCTGTGTCAACCACATGCAAGGCAAGCACTCTACCTGCTGTATTGTCATTCCAGTCCCACTTGCCAGCAGTATGTCTTAACATTTCACGGGTGACAGCAGCTGAACACCACCCCACATTGTCAGAGCCTGTAGGCGCAGCTGTGGGGGTCTGTTGGATAGCAGCATAACCATCCTGGAAAACCTCATGAAGGATGGCTGGGAGGTCTGTGTGAGTATCTACGCATCACCATCAGGGAAAGGTACCATAGAGGAAGTGTGCAGCTTTCTAGAGGTGAGCATCCTTTACAGTCCCCTGAGCCCCACCAGGAGTGACCCCCGAGCACTACCAGGTATGGCCCCAAACCCAAAATAAAGAAAAATTAAAATGTAGAAATTATTCATCATATTTAGGCCATTGGCCAGATAACCAGTAAGAGATAAAAGTGAGTAGTTAAAAATACACCCCTGATTGTTTTGGGATTTGTGAAAGTGTAATACTGGGGGAAAGAAAACCTTAAAACTGCTGTAGTCAGGCTTTATCTTTAGGGAAACTAAGATGGGAGGAGGTATGAGCATTGTCCCAATTTTTTCCTTAGTTTTTGGGCCACATCCTGTGGTGCTCAGGGCCTCTTCCTGGCTTGGTGTTCAGGAGTGATGCCTGGGGGTGCATCACTGGGGACTGGGACTTCAACCAGTATTGTGGTTGACGCAGCCACATGCCAGCCAAGTGCTTTCCCACTGTACTGTCTCTCCAGCCCGAATTGTTCACTTTTACTGCCGATGTTGTACCTGGGCCCGGCAAGTATTTCGCCCATACGGCAAAGCCTGGCAAGCTACCCGTGAGGTATTCGATATGCCAAACACAGTAACAAGTCTCACAATGTTACTGGGCCCGCTCGAGCAAATCGATGGACAACGGGAGGACAGTGACAGTTGTGCCTGGGATGGTACCTGTGCCCAGGGCTCCTGTCAGGTTGCTTTTCAACAGTTCTCCCCGCTGCTGGCACTCACCCAGAGCTATTCTACTACTTGACCTATGTTTATTTTCCGTTTGCCTGCTTTGATAGTTGGTGACCCTGGAAGGTAATAGAGTTTGACAAGA